AGGAAGGCTGGGGGCAGGTGAGGGAAATGAATTCCATTTGTAAAGGATGATTAAGATTAAGATGCCTGTTAGACAACTTGCCAGGGATCGGAAGATGACATTGGATACTATATCTATACTGCAAGGAGGAAACTAGACTAGATATCTAAACATTGGAGCTATTAAGTGCCATATTAAGACCAGATAAGACAGTACTGAGAAATTTGTTATTGACCACAGAGCATTGCGCAAGTGTGGTGTTAATCCCCTTGTCCATTCCTAGGGTCAAAGAAAATGCTTCCTTAAGGGCAACTAGACCTAGAGTCCTTTGAGAACATGTTATATGGGGGGCAAGCGTGGGCTGATCCCATCCTCCCCCCGTTATCCGGCGAGGGCTGCCGGTTCACTTGGTGCCAGAAGCAGCTCAGAAAGTATCATCCTCCAGGCGCACTTCCAATGCAATTAATCATGTCAATACCTATAAATAAAGTGCGACCAACAGTCGCTTTAACAGCACATGCTAATTATCAGTAGGATTGTCACCGAAAAAGGGTCTCTCTCTCTCTCTCTCTCTCTCTCTCTCTCTCTCTCTCTCTCTCGTGCTTTTTATTTTTTGCCTATTTTGCCGTGTCTTGAGGGTAGTATCAAGAATGCCGTCAGGATGTCTGAGGAGGTGGGATGAACAGATCATTAACAGAGGCCATGCTACAAAAGGATTGGGTTTGGACCCTCAATGTAATTGTTATGGGTGACAATAAAGGACATCCAGGAGAAATCTCACAACTAGGGTTGCACTTGGTGCTGTTTCTTACAAGGTTTTATTTTTAAAGGGATGCTTTAAAAATAGGGTTTCTCAGAGAGCCAGACGCAGTCAAGAATATGGTACTGGGAAGAAGAATAGACAAGAGATAGAAGTTCCATAGCCTTGTGGTTCATTGGCCTGGAGCTCCGCTACCTGGACAGCAAGCCCCAGGCATCTGCCTTGTCTCTCTTTCCACATGCTGGGGTTACACGCCAGTGCCAGCACGTGGACTATGATGATCAGTCTCTGGACTACATTGCCTGATCAATCAACACATTCCCTATGTGTTTTAACTTTCATTATCATCAGCCTTGTAAATAGATAGACAGACAGACAGACAGACGGACAGACGGATGGATGCAGACAGTCAGTTTGGGTTTCTCAAGACAGGGTTTCTCTGTATAGCCCTAAAGACCATGCTGGCCTTGAACTGGAGATCTTTCTGTCTCTGTCTCCAGAATGCTGGAATTAAAGGCTGAACCACCACCATCCAGCCTCTCTTCAAATATTAATCCCCCAAAGGAGAAGTCTGAGAAGAGGTAACTGAGAAATGACAGTGTTCATCTAATGTTAAGTGGGCAGTCAAGGCTTTAACTGAGCTTCGGTCAGTCACATTGTATGGTCAAGCTTCAGGGGTTTTTTAATACAAGGAGTTAGACCATTTATTTTTAATGCTACTAATGAGATAGTTTTGTTTAAATTTGTCATCTTATAATTTGTTTTTTATTTCTACTAGATTTTTCTCTCTGATCCTGTCCCCTTCCCATGTTTACCTGTCTTTTTCTGATTACCGAGTATTTCCACACATCTGTATTATTTTATATTTTTACTTTTTTAGCCACAAACTCCTTGTATTATTTTAGTTTTTTCTTTGGGGTATGTATTACCCATCCTTAACATATATAAGTCAACTTAAAGTGATGTTATTCTACTTTTACTATACATCATGCAAAAAGCACATAATTTTAGTCTTAACCTTTAGTGAATAACATCAGTAAAATGAGAATTTTTAATATTTAGTTATCAATCCTAGGGATGATTCCAACAACCCACTTGGGTTATGTACCCACCCCTTGTCCCAACAAAGCCCAGTGTAGTGAATATAATGTTGTGGTTAGCATAGTTTCCAACAGCACCTTTTTACGATATCGCAGAGTGGGAAAGGAATTTACTGGGAGAATGTAGAAGAATATAAAGTGCACTAGCCAGCCGGAAAATACAGCTAATATTGACTACTACAGGTGCAGTCGGAGAAGAGAGATTACAGTTTGGCAGACAGAGAACTTAGACACACTTCTGAACATTTCCCAGTGTACCCTGTTGACGGTGCTGCACTTGACCACACCAAGCAGGAGCCAATGAGGCGTTGCTCTGCATGGCATTTCCTTTCCCCACTATCCTCCAGGACACTCAACACTGGTGATACTTCTGCATTCTGGTTCTCTCTGGCTGAAATAGAAGACAAGTATTCCACCATTTCTTTGTATGTGGCTCTTCTCAGCATTCCAGAAGATGTCCTAAGAAACTCCACACTCATATACACATTGTTTCTCAGTGCTGGCACAAGTCACATTTTGGACTGGATAACTGTGGCTTTTCCTGTGTACTGTTCTTGCAGTGAACCTGGACTGTATCTATCTGTCTGTTAGATGTCAGTAAAACATCCCAGTCCTCAAAGGTGACAATCAGAAGCTCTGGATTGCGTCGAATATTCTCTGAGGAGCAAATTCACTTCTGATTGGGAAGTACTGATTCAAGGGAATGTTCGTGTGTATAGAGATTCCACAGGTTCTTGACACCAAACCTGCATCAGCTTATGGTGAGGAAGGAACATCACCAGCAAATGCCTCCTGATGTGGAACTGAACTCAGGCCCTCTAAAGAGGAGTCTGCACTCTTACCCAATGAACCATCATTTCAGCATCATTTTATTTTTGTTTAATTATTTTTATAAATAAATACTTCTACATGTAAAATCTTTAAAAATGTTTGCAGGATTTCCTTTGATTTTGTTTCTGAGATATGATCTCATGTAGCCCACTCTGCCTTTGAACTTTGATGCTGCCAAGGAAACCTTGACCTCCTGATCCTCCTGCCTCTACTTCCCAAGTGCTGTGAGTGTCCACTTTTCCTGGTTTATTTGTTGCCTGCTAGACAAGAGCTGTACTGACTGAATAACACCACACACACACACACACACACACACACACACACACACACACACACACAATTTCTTTTTGAATCACTTGAGGGTCAAGAACATTGATCCTGATAATTATTTGTTTAACTTAAGTGCTTTAAAGATAAACTTAGGGATTTTAGTCTTAGAATTTTGTTGTTATTTTTCCATTAAACTCATGAGTATACAGTCTTACTGTAGAAATATTTATGAATGGGACTCATAGTAGGGAGGAAAACCACCACCACATACTTAGTACATAGTACAGAAGAAATCTGACGCTTCATGTTCAACTATGTTCCTCGAGAACCCTAAGTAGAATGAGCACATTGCACATCTTTCAGAGTGAGGTACACTGTGTGAACCCCCAAGAAATAGAATTGCTGAAAGAATTGACTATGGTACCTTCATGGGCATGATTTTGACCAATCCTAGAATTGCTTTTTCAAATTGGGATTCTCTGGGAAAAATGAGGTAGAACAAGAGAGCAAGGTGCTGTGGAAAGGAAGACTAGGAATCAAGGACACAGGAGTGGACTTGAGTATAAAAAGCAAAGAGAGGGTTAGGCCTCCTGCAGAAGGGAACACAGCATCACACAGCAACAAGAACCTGCCAGGTGTGAAGCCTCACTCCTGTGCAATGCCCCCTAGCCTTTCCCCACAGGGAAAGATCTGGCCACCAGGGCTCCCGAGGCCAAGGCTCGAGAAACCAGGACTGCTTGGGCTGCAAGGTGAGGTGATTTTGTTTGCATGAGCCAGGCGATGCTTCTAGACACAGACCAATTCATCTGCCTTAGCTACCAAACAGAGCCTTTACCTCCTCCTCTCTGTGGAAGCAGTCAAGCCAGGTTGTTGGCAAGGTGACCTTCCAAAACTGAATCTGTGCTTCCAAAAATAGAAGCATCCTCCAAGAATCCAGAAGGGGAGGGGAGGCTGTGGATGTTGAGGCCAGAACCCAAGTCCCTGGAGCACTGTCAGTATGAAACCGTATTAATTAGACACAGGCACCCAGATCCATAACCTCAGGTATCTCACAGAAACTGAAACTAAATGAACTGGCTTTTTTCCTCTTCCTAGTTACACTCTCCTGGGCTTTAGAAGAGGGTGGAGGGCAGGAGAAAGATTTCTATATTTTGACCTATTTGGATCGGCTGTACATTGCCCAAGGAGATGTCTTCCACAGGATCCCAGTAGAGGGAATGGACCTCATTCAGATACACTCAAAATAGGAGGTGGCTAAGTGAGACCTTGAGAAACAGACATCAGGACTCCCTAAAGCCGGGTTTTGAACTTTTCTCCCTGCATGGACATTGTGCGGGACGAGGTTTGTGTCCCAATGTGTCTAATTATGTGGGAATATAGGTCAGAGGCTGGCACTATCGTTCTCATGTAATATCCTTGTCCAGAGTTAATTAGGAGCTAGAAGATCCCATGATCTGATGGAACCACGTGTTACTGATCTGTAGAGGTTGTTTACAATACTAAGGGTACAAATGGCAGTGTAGAGTGTGAAAGAGACTGGCTGGGTTATCGGGAGTGTGGGGGGGATAGTGTGGCTCATTTGACAGCTCTGTGTAGATGGGCAAGCATATGGGCCAGAGTGAAGCCCTGCTGGAAAGGTCACAGAAAGTTGAGTGGGGTGGCAGCTGAGTATCTGAGCTCTACTGGGGTGAAGATCTCTGTTAGGCTTCTCTTTGCATGGCTTTGTGCTGAGAACTCTCTCTGGATTGCAGCAGCCATGTGAATAGAGCAACATGGAGGGGCACTCTGAGAATGCTGTGTTCTGGACTATGGGAACCTGTGTGAGGCTGGACCTGTGGGCCGGGTGTGTGCTGGCTTCCCGTGGACAGCCTCTTGAGCTCTGCCATCTTAAATACGAGTTGTGCTATCCCAGCAGAGGGGTGGAGTTTGTGTGTGACATTAGGACCTCAGGAGCTGACCAAGAGGAGCAGAGAGTGGCCTTTCTGACCCGCCTGCTGCTGAGCCTCCCGCACAAGGGCTGAGGACGGTTTCTAATGCATCGCTCTGTGCTTTCTGAACAGGACAATGTGGATCTGGGAGAGCTTATGTTCTCACTCTGCTATCTCCCAACGGCCGGCAGGCTGACCATCACCGTGATAAAAGCAAGGAACTTGAAGGCAATGGACATAACGGGAGCATCAGGTGGGACATTCTTCAGTTCCTCAGCTAGTTCTCATTCAGTACTTTATGAAGTTGCTATTATGGTGCCTTGGGTCTGGAACCGAGTTGCCAGGTTTAATCACATTCCTGCCACCTCTAAGTGCTGTGTGACCTTGGAACAGTCACTTAACCACTCTAGGCTTCAAATTCCCATCTGTAAAGTGAGAGTAAGATTTGCCCCTGCTGAGTTGTTGTATGGTGAACTGCGTTAATATGTATAAGATGTGGTATATTAAGATGCTACATGATGTGAGCTGAATCTTGAGTCTTTTACTACCCGCATTTGGGACTCAACCCACAGTTTGCATATTCTGAGGTGGTCTACCAAGTTATGCCTTTTCTCAGACTTCACTATCTTGGGCTCATTGAAAACTGGAGACAATTCTGACTACTTATAAAAGTGAACCATAGCTTGGAATTTCTTTTCGGTGAACCAAGCATATACCTTTAAATTGTAAACCTTGATTCAGAATGTCTCAATGTGCAGCTCACACTGTGCACATTCATACCGGTCTTGGCCAAGTGGTCACTAATACACAGACCACTGGTACACAGAGTGGCTGAACTCGAAGAGCCTGAAATGCAGTGCATTCTTTTGTTATTGCTGGGGTGTGTGTGTGTGCGCGCGCGCGCGTGTGTGTACATATGTATGCACATACATATAAAGACCAGAGGTCAATCTCATATTGCCACTCCCAAGGAATCATTTCCCCCTACTCCATCACTGCTCTCCAGCTCAAAATGGATTCCTGTATCTCTCTGCCTAACCACATGCCACCCCGAGAACTCACCCCTTCCTGAAGGTACTTTAAGCCAGAGGAGCTGTGTCATTTTTTCCTTTCTTAGAAACAGCCTAGAGTATAGAATATAAACTATAACAACACCTTAGAGTAAATGTCATCCTTGACTTTGGTTTTTAAGAAAGGTTCTCTCATTGAGACCTGGACTTACTTGTTAGACTATGACTGGACAGCAAACACCAAGGATCCTCTTGTCTCCACTTCCCTTGCGCTGGAATTATAAGTGCATGTCACCCACCATGCCCAGATGTGTAAATGGAATACAGTATGTAACTCAAGTCTTATACTTGCATGGCAAGGTTGTTACTGACTGATTTTACTCCAAGATGTTGATACAGTCTATGTTCTATCCTCCAAGCTGTTTGTAAGCAAACAAAGGGATATACAGCTCCTCTGACCTTCTGCACAGCTTAACATGCCTTCTGGAAGGGGTGAGGAGTGAGGGCAGATGTGCTGAGGAAGAGAGATACAGGACTGCCTTTTGAGCTGCATAGTAGTGAGGGTCTAGTGGGACCAGAAGTGCCACCTCCAGAGCACAGTCAGCCTGGTCACCTGTCACTCTGCCATGGTCATGCTATGAACAGTCCCCTGTCTTCTCTCTTACTGGTTAGTGAATAGTGACTCTCTTTGCAAGCAGATTTGCAGGAGCTCCCAGTACGTAAGGCCATCCACCCCTACAGACTGTCCCATTCTCTAGGAATTTAGAGTTCATAAGGCTAGAAGCATTCTCCTTCTTAGAGGCCCATTCTTTAAGCAAAGATCTCCATGGGTAGCCCAGAGTTGGGGTGCTGAGTCCTGTCTCCCACTCCTGGGAAATGTCTGTTTATCTTCCTTTCACAGGCAGGCGGGTCCTGAATTCTGGTTGGAATATTTTATAATTTGGCAACAGATGTTTTCACCCTATTTTTAAATTTCATGAATTTTGAGGAGACAGTGTCCTGTGTTTTTTCTTGAAGGAATAACTTAATTATTCTAAGTAGTTGCTGCCCACATCACATATCACATGAATTAAAATCCCCAATCTAGTCTCCAGACAGAGGAAGAAAGTTTTCCCTTTTGGTCATGCACGCCCAGCATCTGTATTTGTCCTCACAGTGCCCTGTTCTCATGCCTGTGCAGATCCATACGTGAAAGTCTCACTGATGTGTGACGGCCGGCGACTGAAGAAAAGGAAAACATCGACCAAGAGGAACACGCTTAATCCCATTTACAATGAAGCCATAGTCTTTGATGTCCCTCCTGAAAGCATTGACCAGATTCACTTGTCCATAGCTGTCATGGACTATGACCGGTGAGATGCCAGGAGCTCTCTCTCTCCCTCCCTTCCTCCCCCAACTCTGTGTGTGTGTACCCGCGCGTGCACGCACAGTCTCTGGGCAGGAAGAGCAGATTAGGGAGCAGCCATTATGCGAGGGGGGGTTCCAGGACACAGAGTGACCACAGGGACTGCATGTGGAGGACAGGCTGATAGGGAGTCACACTGTCCTCGCCATGTTGTCCTCTCACTACATCTAACATCTTCGCCTCTCACTCCCCATTTCTTCTTCTTCTCCACCCTGCCATGTCCCACTTCTTTCCATTCCCATTTCTGCTTACTTCTTGGTATCTCTGTGTGTCTAACTATGGTCCTACAAGTCTTATTTCCCATTGAGCAGCCTCACTCCTTTAGTGGGAAGCTTCTATCCAAAACACAAAATGATTACTTTAGCCACACCACCAATGTTTCTAAATATATAACTTCAATCCTTTTTTTCCCCTCCTTGCACTGTGTTTAATAAAGATCATTTCCATCCACTTAAGTCTGAAAGCAAACACAGAAATGTTCTCTTGAAAATGCTAGGATCAGTATAGATGACAGGGTACATTAAAATGTATAAGATGCTAGACTTTTTAATTAATACAGCACAGAGAAGATATTTATAGCCTGCATTGTAGCCAATTGTGTATTTAAAGGATAGATTTGAAAAACAGACATTTTAATATGCAAAGGAAGTACCAACAGGGAATTATACATGTTAAACCAGTCATTAGACTGAAATGCAAAGTCTCTTTTTAATTAGAAACCTCCCACGTGGTCTGGGCACAATTATAAAAGAAAAAAATCAGTCTGGCTTCTAATATAATCTCACAAATATTACTTGTAGCTAAAAATCTTTCCATCTACCTCTAAAATGTTAGCACAGTGGCATCAGGGACCTCGGTGCTTTTCCAGTAGATCCCTACAAGAACCATGCCTTGTCTTCTGACACAGTTGTCCATGAGTACGACAGCCCATGCTGGGCATAGACCTTGTTCTGTCTTCTCTGGACACACACAACATCATAGTGCCAGGTCCCAGGAGGGGATGCTTCCCACCAGCTTGGAAGCTAGGCTGGTATTTCCCAAGCTATTGCCAAGGTTCCTGCATCAACAAATCTGATTATGTGATTTCTGCCTTAATTTCATTATCAGTAAACTCATAAATCTGGCCTGGAAAAATCCACGACAGTATCCACAGGGTCTCTGCATGTATTTGATTTTAATGAGCATGGACTTAAATATCCTAAACAATCCTTATCTCTTCTCCTTCTCCCCACACGAACAGAATAGAAATCACTCCTCTTTGCTGGGAGGACAAAGAGATTATCCCAAGAGTTGAAAAATGGGCCACATACTTTCAATTACTTCAAGGGACTATTTTTTTTATTTTTCACGAAGGAAAAAGTAAAATAACACAAAGCTAGACCTGCTCACAAAAGTTTCAAGCTGTTAGCCCTAAGTTAAAGGAGCTGGGTGCCTTCCACAGTTGAGAACTCAAGTTGGCTCAAAGAACCAAAACCGAGAGTAGAAAGAAAGAAAGAAAGATGTGGAGAAGATGACAGTGGTAGTCCCTAATGAAGCAAGGAACAAGAAGATACAGTAACCCTCCCCTCTGGGCTCCTTGTTGGCATCCTTGGTTGCCTCTTGTGGAAACTGGAGTCTGGGTTACATCATTCACTCCTTCCTAAGGGCTTCCTTTCCATTCAGTGTCTCTGGAAGCAGCTTAGCCTCCAGCCCCAGAAGTGATTTCATTACCACACATCAGGGAGTTCTTTGGACAAAGGTTCTCAGAACCAAATGAACCCATGTCAGTGTGAGGAAAGTTGGACATAGTCTTGAACCCTAGGTCTATCTGCTGTTTAGCCTAGATTGTAGTTTTAAATTAGAGAATATTTTTTAAAAAATATCCCACTACTTTTAAATTTCTTCCACTCATTTGAGTTGTTGCTTTTACTTCTGCATACCAAAATTTTAAGAAAAAACTATTGTGGCCCATTTTCACAGTGTAGGTCATAATGAGGTCATCGGCGTGTGTCAAGTAGGCAACGAAGCTGAGCGGCTGGGCAGAGAGCACTGGAGTGAAATGCTGTCTTATCCTCGGAAGCCTATTGCACACTGGCACTCTCTGATGGAGGTAAGACCTACCCAAACATGCTCCACTCTGTGGATTGCATGCTTTGCTGCGGAAGTGCAAAGCTGTTGACAACATGAATGTGCCAGGCTCTTTGTCACTAGCACTGTCCCTGGTGACATTTCCCAGGACTGTTGGAACTTGCATGAAATCTGAAACACAATTAATAAAAACTCAGGGAGAGAAATCAGGGTTCAACCTGACGACCCAAAAAACAAAGCAGCCAACCACTGGCTCTTATCTTGGTCTCAGTCTGAAATGGTGATTCTGCCTCCAGGAATTGCAGAATGAGATTGTGTCTGAGAGCTGTCTCTTCCCATTTTATAATCCTCTCTAGGACTGGGATTAAAGTCATGCACTGGGATTAAAGATATGCCCCACTGGTTTCTATGGCAAACTAGCATGGCTGTTGGGATTGAAAGTGTATATCATTGCTTCCTGGTCTGTAAGACTGACCAGTGTAGCTGTTTTACTATCCTGATCACCAGGCAAGCTTTATTTATTAAAATACAATTGAAATGCTACTACATTTCCCCTTTTGTCTAAAATAAAAAAGGTTATAACTAATATAAGGAACTGTAACTATCTAGTCTTCAAATCCCTCAAAGACCCAAAAAGGAAATAATATTAACTGAGTAAGCAGAAAGTGCAAGCAAACAACTTCTAAAAAAATGTAATGACAGAAACAGCTGGCTGCCTGGACAGTCATCTAAAGTTCCTCTGCAATGCTGGGGCATGCATCTTCAGCCTATAGGCCTAGCATATCCAACAATCCTTTTTTACTCTCAGATCTTCAGGCAAGCTTTATTTATTAAAATACAATTTAAATGCCACTACAGAAATCTGAGGTTCAGTATTTTCTTCCCACCAGCCTAGGGTGTTTGGGTCAAGGATCATCCCTCATTTTTATTGTCTTTTTAAAATTGATTTTTAGTGAGCTCTACACTTTTCTCTGCTCCCCTTCCTTCCTCTCCCCTCCCCTTCTATCCTCTCCCAAGGTCCCCATGCTCCCAATTTACTCAGGAGATCTTGTCTTTTTCTACTTCCCATGTAGATTAGATCTATGTATATCTCTCTTAGGGTCCTCATTGTTGTCTAGGTTCTCTGGGATTGTGATTTGTGGGCTGGTTTTCTTTGCTTTATCTTTAAAAGCCACTTATAAGCGAGTACATGTAACAATTGTCTTTCTGGGTCTGGGTTACCTCACTCAAAATGAGGTTTTTTAGCTCCATCCATTTGCCTGCAAAATTCAAGATACTGTTATTTTTTTCTGCTGTGTAGTACTCCATTGTGTAAATGTACCACATTTTCCTTATCCATTCTTCAGTTGAAGGGCATTTAGGTTGTTTCCAGGTTTTGGCTATGACAAACAAAACTGCTATGAACATAGTTGAGCACATGTCCTTGTGGCACGATTGAGCATCCTTTGGATATATACCCAAAAGTGGTATTGCTGGGTCTTGAGGAAGGTTGTTTCCTAATTTTCTGAGAAATCACCACACTGACATCCAAAGGGGCTGTACCAGCTTGCATTTCCACCAGCAATGCAGAAGTGTTCCCTTTTCCCCACAACCTCTCCAGCATAAGTTGTCATCAGTGTTTTTGATCTTGGCTATTCTTACAGGTATAAGATGGAATCTCAGAGTTGTTTTGATTTGCATTTCTCTGATGACTAAGGATGTTGAGCATTTCCTTTAGTGTCTTTCAGCCATTTTAGATTCCTGTGTTGAGGGGTCTGTACTCCTCCTTTTTTTTTTTTTTTTTTTTTTTTTTTTTTTGATTTTTATCGTCTTTTAAAAGGACCAGGATTTGACTCCATGCTACAATGTGTGGAAAGCATATGTCTCTCTTCCTTACATATACCAAATCCAAAGGAAGACTGTGTAGGGGGCAGCACCATGGTCGACAGAAGCCTAGACTTCTCTGATCTTTCTTGTTAACTGTCCCAGAAATTACCTCATTATGCAATGTGACTGCTAAACTCAAAAACATTTTATCTTTCATGTCACAAAAGTATGGAACAAGGCAAGGATCGAAAGAACACACAGTGCTTCTTACTGGGTTCTCTTTGAGATCTCACAAGACATTGCTTCTCAGAGCTTTGGACATGTCCAGTTTCAGAGGAGCATAATAAATATATTCTTTTTACTATGTGCCTATCTAAGAAGTAGGGCTTTATTTTCAGTGAAAGGGAGAATGCATACTGCCCACCATCCTGCCACTTTTCCCTCACCCACTTTCTTCCTTGTCCCTTCTCATTTCCTCTTCTGCTTATCCTTCCTTATTGACAAAGTTATTTGGGCATTCTCCTAAAACGAATTGTGACTGAGAAGCATTTCTGGGGATTGCATGCCATGTAGACACATGTGAGCGAGAGGCCATTTTCTTCTTAGCTCTTACAGACACTGCAAACCAGAAGTGTCTTTTTAAAACTAAACTTATTTATTCATTTACTTATTGGTGGTGCCCATGCAAAGGCATATGTGTGAAAACCGGAGAACAGCTACGGGGAGTTGGTTTGTTTCTTCCACCAAGTGTGGCCTACAGATAGAACTCAGGTTGTCAAACTTGGAACCAAGTACCTTAGCCCACTTGCCATCTCACTGGTCCAAGAGAGGAAATGGAATGTGAGTTATTGAAGTGCATAGCCATAAGCTTTGTCCTTCATAGAAGGAGAAGAACAGGTAAGAGAGGTGCCCCTTGAGCTTGCAGGAGACCAGAGCTGCTGGGAATGGGAGCACCAGGAAACAGGCAGAGGCCACTGCCCAAGGGTGTGTGGGTTCCAGGCAGAGAACTTTCCTCTGTTCTCCCAATGTAGGCAGCTTCTCCCCACATACACACCCTGAGAGCGCTGCCCAGTGTGGGTCCCTCTGCCCTTGACAGTGAAGTGAACGTGAAGGAGTAAAACATGCAGGCGACCTGCAAGGAAGAGAGGCTCCAGCCCAGGCCTACAAACAAGGGCCGCCACCTCTGTGGGAATGCTGCATGAAAGAGACTCCAAGCACGATGCTGTGGTAGACTAGGATCCCCTGATTTTCAGGTTCCTGAGTATATCTCTGCCCCTGGGCCACAGACGCTAAACCTCTCTTTTCTTGCATCAAAATTAATCCCTAAGGGAGACCTCAAGACCTGTGAGCCGCATGAGAAAGAGCCAGGGGACCTATGCCTCATTTCCTCAGCTCCTGGTGGAATTCTCAGAAGAGCCCATATACAGACTTAGTAAATTGCCCAGGGATACACTGGTGAGTGGCAGTGAGAACCGCTGTAGTCTACTTCTTGTACCCTTGGAAGTCACTTCTGACTTAAATCCTTTGTGGTCAGAAGTGTCAAAGCTCTGCGACAGAGATTGGGAGAGGAGTAAGGTCCAGAGGGATGAGAGATGAGTCCTGATGCAAGCAGAACTTTCTCAGTGGCCTTGGCAGACAGTAACCCTTGGTAGGGTGTGGCATGTCAAGTGTGGGATAGGAGGCACCATAGAGCTGTCCTCCACTTCAGAGGGAAGACGGCTATGCATCTTACGTCCCTGGGAGGAGCTCCTTAAACCCTTAGCTCTCAGCGTTTTGCAAACCTGTATTCAACAGTTATGTAACTGAGAAATAAGCATCTTGAGGGTTAAAGTAATGAAACCTGGGAGTCATTTCTACAGTGGCTGGAATTACTTCAGCAAACACAATGGTCATTTCTCAATGGTTGCAGCGGAACTGAGGAAATGAAATGCCTGTGTCCCCGATATGAAAGGCAAGTAAGGCTGCTCATTCCCTGTGGTCCCTTGCCTGTCTTTGAAGTCATGTCTTGAACTCCGTGATCCATCTCCAGAGGGGCAATGCTGCCTTCCCTTTTAAAAATAAACATGTAGCTGGCAAAATTAGGGCAATGGTACCAGATGAGATTAAAGAAGGTGGAAGATGAACTGTTCTCTGTCAGCCACCGTATGGATGGAGGCGGTCACAGGGCAGGTCTGGGAAAGATGTGTGCTGGGGTGGATGGACCTAGATTCACACTGCTGTGCAGCCATGTGCCAGTTAATTGTTCTTCGCCTTTGGTTTTTCTTATCTGTAAAGTTGCCATACTGCCTGTGTGTAAGAGTCATTGTAAATATTCAAGTTTTTAAGGAGTGGGAGGGTTGAGGTGGGGTTCACATATCCAAGCTTGTTATATAGTCAAGGATGACCTTGAGCTTCTAATTCCCCTGTACATTGTAGGTGCTAAGACTATAGGCACACACCACCAAAACCATTTTACACAGTGCTGGGGATCGAACCTAGGTATTTTTATTTCTGAGCGAGCACTCTACACACTGAGCTATACCCCCAGCACAGGTCAAGTTAATCTATGAGAAATATAGCTCCATGGCTGGCACCTAGCCAGTGCTTGGTAACGTTCTCATTATTGTGTGTCGTATTCTGGTGGGTACTGTGTGTCCTCTTGGGACTATAACATAAGGAAATATCACCCATGATATTTTTCATGGTGACACCAGTGAGCATCATCCCTGGTTGAAAGAGTGGCTCACTTAGTACTTGACTGGACATAGATATACAGATTTTTTGTTTTATTTTTATTTCAAAACAGGGATTCTCTGTGTAGCTCTGGAAGACCTGGAACTAACTCTGTAAACCAGGCTAACCTTAAACTCAGAGATCCACCTGCCTGTGCCTCCCAGATACTAGGACTGAAGACATGTACCACTACCTTGTTCAGGTGTGCAGATTTAAGGTCTACTTCCTTTCTCCTTTAACTCTGCTGTAAAGATAACCTGCTATTATGCTCTCCTAAGCCAAGACCTGCTTAATCCTAGGCTTCTTGGTGTGTGTGTGTGTGTGTGTGTGTGTGTGTGTGTGTGTGTGTGTGTGGTGTACATGTATGTATAGAGCACAGGGTGGAGTGAATACAAGTGAGCATGTGTTGGGATTTCGTGTGTAAGAGGTTGGCCTGACAGAAACTCCATGCTGCTAGGGACCAAGGGACTAGGTTAGAAATGAACCCCGATAACTGCAGAGACT